AAATAAGAAAAGCCAGAGAAAGAAGCCATTGTAAACAATGCAGCAGTCTACTATTTCAACTTCCCAAATGTTGGTGGTAATTAAAAGGGTTGATCAAACTTCCTGTTAATTAACACTATATACAAATTCTAGAATCTGTCTTTATTTTCTATCTATCTAACTAACATTTTCAATTTTTTCGAGACATTCTGGTAAGCAGTACGGTTCTTCAGTGATTGTGATGTATTAAATCTGTTGAGAGATTGACAAGTGTTCTCGCTAGGGCCATGTTTTCCTTGTTTCAAGCTTGGTTAACATTCCACCCAATAAAGCAGGCGTGATAGCCCTTGAGTAATGTCATGACAGTGTCTTGCATATACAGTGGGGGAAAAAAGTATTTAGTCAGCCACCAATTGTGCAAGTTCTCCCACTTAAAAAGATGAGAGAGGCCTGTAATTTTCATCATAGGTACACGTCAACTATGACAGACAAAATGAGAAACAAAAATCCAGAAAATCACATTGTAGGATTTTTAATGAATTTATTTGCAAATTATGGTGGAAAATAAGTATTTGGTCAAAAACAAAAGTTTCTCAATACTTTGTTATATATCCTTTGTTGGCAATGACACAGGTTAAACGTTTTCTGTAAGTCTTCACAAGGTTTTCACACACTGTTGCTGGTATTTTGGCCCATTCCTCCATGCAGATCTCCTCTAGAGCAGTGATGTTTTGGGGCTGTCGCTGGGGAACATGGACTTTCAACTCCCTCCAAATATTTTCTATGGGGTTGAGATCTGGAGACTGGCTAGGCCACTCCAGGACCTTGAAATGCTTCTTACGAAGCCACTCCTTCGTTGCCCGGGCGGTGTGTTTGGGATCATTGTCATGCTGAAAGACCCAGCCACGTTTCATCTTCAATGCCCTTGCTGATGGAAGGAGGTTTTCACTCAAAATCTCACGATACATGGCCCCATTCATTCTTTCCTTTACACGGATCAGTCGTCCTGGTCCCTTTGCAGAAAAACAGCCCCAAAGCATGATGTTTCCACCCCCATGCTTCACAGTAGGTATGGTGTTCTTTGGATGCAACTCAGCATTCTTTGTCCTCCAAACACGACGAGTTGAGTTTAAAGTTCTATTTTGGTTTCATCTGACCATATGACATTCTCCCAATCCTCTTCTGGATCATCCAAATGCACTCTAGCAAACTTCAGACGGGCCTGGACATGTACTGGCTTAAGCAGGGGGACACGTCTGGCACTGCAGGATTTGAGTCCCAGGCGGCGTAGCGTGTTACTGATGGTAGGCTTTGTAACTTTGGTCCCAGCTCTCTGCAGGTCATTCACTAGGTCCCCCCGTGTGGTTCTGGGATTTTTGCTCATGTGATCATTTTGACTCCACGGGGTGAGATCTTGCGTGTAGCCCCAGATCGAGGGAGATTATCAGTGGTCTTGTATGTCTTCCATTTCCTAATAATTGCTCCCACAGTTGATTTCTTCAAACCAAGCTGCTTACCTATTGCAGATTCAGTCTTCCCAGCCTGGTGCAGGTCTACAATTTTGTTTCTGGTGTCCTTTGACAGCTCTTTGGTCTTGGCCATAGTGGAGTTTGGAGTGTGACTGTTTGAGGTTGTGGACAGGTGTCTTTTATACTGATAACATGTTCAAACAGGTGCCATTAATACAGGTAACGAGTGGAGGACAGAGGAGCCTCTTAAAGAAGAAGTTACAGGTCTGTGAGAGCCAGAAATCTTGCTTGTTTGTAGGTGACCAAATACTTATTTTCCACCATAATTTGCAAATAAATTCATTTAAAATCCTAAAATGTGATTTTCTGGATTTTTTTTTCTCAATTTGTCTGTCATAGTTGACGTGTACCTATGATGAAAATTACAGGCCTCTCTCATCTTTTTAAGTGGGAGAACTTGCACAATTGGTGGCTGACTAAATACTTTTTTCCCCCACTGTACCTTACTCTAAACACTATGTAAGTCTGCCACTAGGGAATTCATTTAGTAATTATAAAAATCTCAATGAGGATAGAATTGTATTTTGAGTCAAGATATATCATACAATCTAAAATAACACAAGCATTAGTAGTTCCATTTTAAAAGCAGCTATTGTCAAAGGAAGCTAATCATTTACAACAACAAAAATTAACCGCAGATGCTACATTGATCACTGTGATCATAGAAATCCCTCATTCAAGTTATATTATATTAGTTTGATAGTTGAATGATAACGGAAAAACTTCAGATGTACAATCTGCAGATTCATTTTCTAAGCTGGTTAGAATACAGAGATGTGGTGATACAGGCCACAAAAACCAACTCCTGCCTAGGATGACCTTTTGGCTTATTAATGCGTTGTCAGAACTGGTGCTAGAACAAATATGTCAGTTTTGGAATTGACTGCAGTCCCCTGAAGCTGGTGACTTCATATTTTTCCCTGAACTCTGTGCAGCTCAGAATGGCGGTGCAGCAGCACTCCTGATTAGCATGCAGTAATGATGGTGAGCTGGGCTCCATTGTTCTAACACCTCCCCTCTCCTCCGCACCAATCTGTCACCGTTCAGTGGGCTAGCGCTGCCTCAAATGCTGCTCTCCACAAATGAGATGGATAATTAGTTGCCCCTCACGAATGCTGCACTCTTCTCACCACTGATTGCTTTCACCTTTTGCTCCTGGCAATTTTGACACCTCCTAATCAGCCTGCTGCTTCTCCCTCTCAAACCATATCCATCTTCCTCCTCCTCCCCCTCCTCTTTGATTTTTTATATTTCCTCAAATGTTCCCTCCAAACATACCTGCCACAGCCGTCACAACTCACATGGAACAACAAGCTGGCCTAGGTTAGGTACACAAGCTGTTCCCCTCAAGATGGGCATACAATGGGCTCCCAGGAGCTAAAGTCAGTTTTCTTATCTTGCTGTCCATATTACTTTATTAACAAATGAGTAAATCATAGAACTAGCTGTCAGTGCAGCTTCCCTCTTCCAAATAACAAGCAGTGACAACATAATTATGTGCAAGCATCTGTCGATGACTCCAGAGAGAGAACCAACTCTTCACAGATTTACAAGGCAGCATCATTAGGGAGATGGGTTATTTGTATTTTCTACATTTTTCTGAATAAATTTTCTCTATCCTTCACTGTCCATGAAAATGCTTGGCACATTGTACATTACCAAAATGTAATATTCAGCTTTGTAAATACAACACAAGGACATGTTGTTTAAGCTATTTTGCCCTCTCAGATAATGTATTGTTGTTGTATTTGTGTGGTACTAATGTCTTCCCCTTCCCTTGTCCACTTGAACAGCAACACATTGTTCTAATAATCTATTAGCATAGGTCAAAGAGGATGAAGAGGCTCTACTCTTTCTTTTGATATCAAATCCTGCTCACTTCTGGTTGCTCCTCCATCACAGAAGATTTGCACATAACCATAAAGATTGTTGAAGTTATATATAAATCAGGCAATAATGTCAGTGATAAAGCATTGGCAATATTCTGTGATGATCAAATCCATAAAACACGACTCAATATGATTCAAAATAATGTAAAATATATGAAATAGCTATGAAGTATCCACCGGTGTCGAGTAAAGCATGTAAAATGGGATTATTAAAAGCCCCTGTTTGCAGTCTTCACACCAGCTCATCTACACATCACAAGTGTTACCAGCCCATATCCGAAGGGCTGCAAGGTCCTCACTGCACACAGATGTTTTAATACACATATTTTCCCTATTTCCCTAAGACATCATCACACAAGATAGTGAACATGACTACAATTGTTTGCAAAGCTGTGAATAAATATAAGTCAAAAGCGATTTGTACACTCTTAGAAAAAAAGGTGCTAGCTAGAACCTAAAAGGGTTATTTGGCTGTCCCCATAGGAGAACCCTTTGAAGAATCATTTTTGATTCCAGGTAGAACCCTTTTGGTTCCAGGTAGAACCCTTTTGGAACCCTTTCCACAGAAGGTTCTACATGGAACACAAAATAGTTCTACCTGGAACCAAAAAGGGTTCTCCGATGGGGACAGCTGAAGAACCCCTTAGGAACCCTTTTTTCTAAGCGTGTAGGCAAGAGGCTAAGTCTCATCATGAAAAACAACTTATTGCTAACAGCTTGTGTATTAATATACTGTTACTAGTCAGATAGAATTAAAGACTATCAAATGTAAAATGTAATAATGTAAACCAACCCATAAAAGGGGAGCGGGGGAGTGCAAAATCAACCATGTTCATGTGTCTATTAATCTGTTAATAAAGCACTACCTATCATCTGAAGATGTATAAAACTAATATTTGTCAACAATAAAAACATTACTCTACAAATTGTCAGATAATTGGGCAAGTAATTGAAGAACTGAGCCTGTACCTGATGTTATGTGGTGTAACACAGACTTAATTAACCTGTTTACCTGCACAAATCTGCTTTCAATTACCATATGGTGTTATAACTTATAACATTGTTTTAATTAACTGGAATTAATTCATATTCTGCACTAAGCTTACCATGCAGCTGCTTCAAATTACAAAAGCTAATTTAGCCTATTAGTATTTATGTATAGCCTACTTTTAATAAAAACGCATTGGACCAACCAGTATTTCACAAACCAGCACAGCATAATCATTTTGCCAGAAATCATCACTATAAATTGATTAGCAACACATTATGCTGGCATATGTATTTTGGATTGAACAAAAACAAGTGAAATTATTTATGGTTACTATATCCCATAAAATAATCACACATTGTTCAATAGTTATAATTTTCATGACTCACACATTTCCAGATCCACTTGGAGAATCAAAGTGGATGCTTCTTCAAAGATCTCAGTGAATGTTCCCCTGAAAATACATATAGTATCAATTTATTACTGCTTTGGGGGATAAATGTAGGCCTAACATGTACACACTGTATGTCAACATACTTGCACCATGCATGCCTTTAAAATCCTTGTGTATAATGAAAAACATATTAAATAATATGTGAAAAATCATGATTAAATGTTTGCTTTATTACACTTAGACCAATACTGTACAATATAATTTCATAGGTCGACGTACAATTTCCAAGTAATATCTTAAGACAAAAACTGTAAAATGTACCATTAACCTCTTACAAATTAAATAAATGATCGAGAGTGGATTCTAGTCCCAAACGCCAGTGTCATGTGACATCCAGCAGAGCACGTGTAATTCATGGCGGGGCAACAAAGACATCAATTAACCATGAATCAATCCTAGAGGTATTGTATTGGGCAGCCAGTGTCTGCTAGTGTCAATTACTGGCTTCACTATTATTCTAGCAATGATTATAAAGATGGCTCTTCATGTGGTCTTGGGGAACTACCGCGTTGCAGAAGGTACATATATCAGGGCTGTTGTTGTTGATCTGTTGTTGCTGCTCCACACTCACGGCCTGTGCTGCTGCTGCTGTAGTAGCGTCCCAAAGCTCAGGGCTCCTCAGGGGCTACATGGAGGGACAAATACATCACTTTATATTCTATAATTCATACACTTAGCATTGCTTACACTCACCCACTTACAGCACAATAGGTCATGTGCTTGGGTCTTCACTGAGGAAAGATCTGTTGCTCCGGGGGAATACAAGCAAAGCAGTGTCCCACTTGAACCCGCTTTCTCAACATCCATAGTTCCTGCCCCACTACTTGTACTATTGTAATGCTGTATATTTGCTACAGTAGGTTTGAATAGTTACTTGTTTCTGGCATTGTTTATATCTCAGCGACAATGTATGGTATGTTATAAACAGAGAAATCCAACCAATGAAATTATCCAATAGCAAAAAAAAGATTCTACCATCAGTGTGGGTGTTCTACCACCAGTAACCATACCGCAGACACACGTCTCAACAAAGGTGTATTTCTTCTGTGTATTGTTTAACCAAAAGCATGGTCTTAAACAATACTCAATTAAGGCCAGATGACCTTCCTAAAATTCTAAAGAATACTACATGACAGGTAAGATTAATTTGATGTACACATCCAGCAATATGGGACTCAGATGATCAAAGTAATCTGTGAGGTAAATTGCTGTGTATGATCAAAATACTTAATACAGAAATAAATAAAAAAGCAATACTGCATCTATCATTCCGCATTCACAACCTCACAGGTGTGCACAGTTGTACTGATAATGGGAATCATAAAATATACATTACTTTGGTTCTGAGTTCAACATGGACTTATTTAACCAACTACAAAACTGAATGGCAAGAAAGCATTATCATCTAAAACAATTGGTGTGTTTTATGATCATTTGTTCATTATCTATTTGCTGATTTTATGTCAATGACAAATAGTGGGGTAGAAACATTGTAATAACTATGTAACAAGCATTGTTGTACACATAGGCCTATCATATCTTATTGTGACTAACAACTTTCAGAGACTTGCCTTACTTGTGTCGATGTGTGAGGTTGCCATTCACTACTTAGACACTTTCTCTCTCCCATTCATTTGCCAGAACAAATCAGGTGTTGAGAATTTCCTACTTTTACCTGCAAATAAAGGAATGAGCATTTCCTGTGAACCTCACCTGCTTGGGTCTACGCACACTCTCGTGTGAGAGCGACGTGGAGGGGGAGGGAGGGTGAGAGACAGAGGTAGGATACAGGAATGGGATGGCCAGCTCCATAGCCGGTTCCTCTATGACGGCAGGGACACTGCTGACTGCTGGCTGTTTCCTTGGCATGGACAGGTCAATGTGCTTCTCCGGAGTGCTGTTCAGGAACTCGTATTCACTGTCTGTGGAGGGGGGGAACTTGATGCTGAGTGTGGTGAGGGAGTCCACTAGGTTGCTGTCCTCTGGGCTGGCACCGCGGGATGCAAGGATCGTGGGCGGGTGCTGGAGGTCGACCACTGGCCTTAAGGCTGAGGGGAAGGACCTCTCCGCCTGCTCCACGGTAACGTCTGTACACTGAATGGGCATGGAGAACTGCTGCTCTGTCAAATGGCAAACACAGGGCTTTTGTCATACTGTTTCTATAACATATCAACATTCACTTACAACATTGAGATATTAAGTTATGGCATTGAGTAGCGATTAGTTCAAGTAATGATGAATAATCAAGTCATAATGAATAATGTCAAGAACATTTTCACTTTTATTTTCATGAAGTCTTCTAATTACACACAGTAAGTATAATATGATTATAGTTTTTTTCATTCCCTCATTATATAACTAACCAGTGCCACATCACAGCATGTGTCTGTGGAATAATTCAACATATTTATCTGCTCATTCTATTTCCCACAGGTGGAGGGCCATGGTTAAATAGGCCAACAAGGCATTAATGTACGATTCTGCTTAAGGTGTTGATATCTAATTGTGTACAGGAACAAAGCTAAAGCTACCATATATAATTACTAATTTTGTGTTATGACATATCCAAAGCAATTGTAGCTCAACATATTTTCTCTATTGTAATTCAATTAGAGTAAAGCTGGACATTAGTTAAGGCCTTGGGTGCCTTTCAACAGTGCTGGAATAATAAGCAATTTCTCAAATCCCAAATTACTATTGTGCAAACCTTAATATTACCATTTGCCATGTCATTTCCTCTGTAGATTTTTTTCAGGTGATATTTTTGTCTCTGGGTTAATGTACGTATCTGCTGGAATTTCCCCTGAAGAGCTTGAAACACCTCAAGAACATCTTTACTGAGAGACAAAGAAAAGCAAATAAAATATCAGCTCTTCATCAAAAAATGAAGTAAAGATTCACATACTAATGCACATACTTCTCAAAACTGCTGGCTACTGGTGCTGCGTGTGGTGAAGATGACACAATCACAGCAGTTTCCATATTCTCCTTCTGAAAAACAGACACACATGGCGTTGAGGACTTACACTGCTAGAAATATCAACCTTACTATTATACACTATCCAAATTGAATACAAAAATGTTTTTTTTCTGCATAATGTGATCATTTCATGAATCAGAATATTAATTTCATAAAAATCATATACTGTATCAATAATTATGACAATTATACATTCAAACAAAAAATCATGGGTGATGCCTTGTGATCTAAGTTATTAGGGAATTACTTCTCAACAATAAACCTGGTAGTTCTATAAAGCTGATGGCTATGGCCTCAGACCCTGAGGTTTGGTGATGCTATCCTCTAGCGCCACCTGTTGATGAAAGATAGTATGTGTGTGTTCATTCTTTTAAAATTATACCCGATAAGGAGTTTGGATTATACTACAATTTACAAATTAATATTTTTTCTCTCCTCAAAACAAACATTAAAATGCGTTAAAAAAACGTGCAGTATTTTTGCGTTAGACAAACAGGTTCAGTGGGAAACTTGTGAAAACATTGATGTTCTCCAGCTAGAAATGTATTACAGAAAAGCAACAAGATGAATGATGTCCTATGTCACAGGAAGTGGAGCTATTGTATTGTGCATTGGCATGAGCTCTGTTGCAGCTATCATGGCTTGCAGATATAGAACAGTATCTATAAGCAAATGTACGATTTATGAACAATTATGTCTGTGTGTGTGTGTGTGTGTGTGTGTGTGTGTGTGTGTGTGTATGTGTGTGTGTGTGTGTGTGTGTGTGTGTGTGTGTGTGTGTGTGTGTGTGTGTGTGTGTGAGAGAGAGAGAGAGAGAGAGAGGATATTGTGCTTATTTGAGCGATTTGAGAGAAAAAAAATGTTATGTGGCAGCAAATGGGGATGTCATGTTTGCACCCCAACACATCCTTACATTGTGAAGGTCTACATCCTATTTGTAAAGATAAATAAACAAGATCTAACTCTAATCTTGTGTGGGTTGTTTGATTGTGTTAAACATATCTACCAAGTCATGAATCTTCCTCAAGGAGCTGCCTGGGTTGTCAAAGAAATGGTTGGAAGGAGACAAGGTTTCTTCTTCCTGTTTTCTAGGAGCAGCCTCACCTTTGACCTCTCCTAAGAATCAAATAAGAGAGGAAATATAATGTAACCCAACTACTTAGTCAACATGGGAAATCTAATTTACGATGTCCTGAAACAGCAATAATATTTGTTACAGCACAATTTATTTTACATTTTAGTCATCTTATCCAGAGCAACTTACAGTTAGTTTTCTTTTCTCATAATGGCCCCCCCGTGGGAATCGAACCCAAACGCCATGCTCTACCAACTGAGCTACACAGGGCCACTATACACAGGGCCACTATATTTACCTCCTGGGGAATAGACAATGCAACGGTATGCCTGCATGTTCCCAATGTAGGCATCTCGTTTATTTCACTGGAGATACTGTGCGGTATAGAATATGTCCGAAAATGTAATCATGCAAACAATTGTATTAAGAAAATAATTATGCTTGTCACTAACCTGAGGGTTGCTTTGTTGCTGATATCAACTGAGCTTTGAGTTTCGAAATCAACTGCTGCTGGTCTTCTATCTGTTTCTGAAGTTTCTGAGTGTGCCGTTCATAATATACATTCTGCAAAAGTAAAACTTTGTGAATGTCATCACTTATCCTTTATAGTTCGTTACTATGTAATTATCATGCTATTTCATTATATCGAAGAACTGTATGGAAGGCTACACCACATCTCAATGGACGGAGTTTAAGTCTCATAGGTGAATTAGAAGAGTTGGGGCCAGTTTCCCAGACACAGATTAAGCCTAGTCCTGGAATAAAATGTACTTTCAGTGGAGACTGTCCATTAAAATACATTTATAGTCCAGGACTAGGCTTTCCGGGAAACTGACCATTTGTTTCTTTATCACCGTGCATTAGGCATAATACCGTCTGCTGTAGTTCCTTTTTGGCGCAGTCTCTCTCGATAGAGGCCTGGCAGTAAGCTTCAAAGACCTTGTTGAGCTGATCTCCATTATTCCTCTCCATGCTGTGTGCTCCACGATCATCACTGACACAGCAGTCTTGGGGCCTGGCGCAACATATCACGCAACCAAAGTTTAGAGGTACAATAAAGCATTAAATCACATCATCACATGATTTGCAGTAAGAAAACCCTATTAATCACATAACTTGGACAAACACTTGAATTAAACTGAAAAACCCAAGTCATCCTCTCTCATCATGACACTGGGGCCAGTACCTACTTCTCTTTTACACCTGTCCTTGCTAATTTTAGAAATTCAAAAGATCAACATTTCTGGTTGATTATACAAGTGTCCTATGTAAGAACAGCTTCTTGATGAAAACAAACAATCATCCAAAATATTTACAGAAACAATACAGTTAGGAAGAATTGTTTGGGTACTCGTGATAAGAATATCACTAATATAAACTGATTAAATCTATGGACACTGATGCGATACTGAATAATAGTACAGTACAGCGCTGTGTAACAATACATTAATTGATATTATTGAATGCCATGGTTTATTACTAGTCAATAAATCTTGGTCATACATGAGCAATGCCTGCAATCACTGTAATAAACAAACGTGTGGAAAATATGAGATATTCACAATCATTTTGTGCGCTGAGAAGATGTTAATAGATTTAATCAATTATAATGGCATATATTTTGGGTAAATACACCTCAGTGTTGTTTCCCATTATTAATGATAGCTAATGAATAATAACAAATAGCCTATCTCTTCTTTAAAAAAACGTATATTATGACATGATCAATACATTAAGCTACTAATATGATAAGGTTAATAACCAATTACCTAAAATGGGAGGCTATGACAGATCTAATACTTTTAAAAGCAGTTGAGGTTTGTTTTTCTGGGTGTCCTGAATATAGTTTTTCAGACTTCTGATAGTGAACTGAGCATGGTACTACTCTGATATGATTGGTTACTTCGTTTGAATACACAGCTAATCCAATTCTCCATCTAGTCATTTATTTTAATAAACACCCGTTGAAGACAGTACAATACTAGTCACTGTCTGTCACTGATTGCAGCCCAAGTAGGATGACACTATGAAGACACATACTAGCCTGAAGCAACCTAGTAGTTATACATTGTAGCAAACTTGTAGCACGAACTGGCTACATAATAGAACGTTGACATTCATTGGTGAGTGTACAAAATCGGTTCGGTACAGTTCTGTTTTTGTATCGAGCAGTGTTAATAGTTGAATAGTTGTGTAAATTTGATACCTAACCAGACACTCGTTGAGCTCGCCTTTCGTATCCGACTGTATAATTGCAGTATCTTACCTTCATTCGAAAATTGCCAAACTATTGTTTTGATACTGCGACACCTTCTTATTCTTCAGGTGGCCTACATTTACGACGTGCGGGAGTGGTGTATTTCGTACAAATGTACATTGTACATGTTTTATAACGCTTGGGAACTTCCCTCGGGGAATCCCCGCGCCTAGTAGACTTCCGCCTTGCTGGACTGACCAATCATCTTTGAGGTAGTGAGTTCTTGCCTTGTGCTTAGCAAATTGAGGGTTATTCTTGCTGCCTACACGTCTGCAACGTTGTGCATGTAAAAAAGTAATCAGATAAAAAAAAGTTAAGTGTCAGAAATGTATGTATTGATTTTACTGTCACCTTCACTAGTGAGGTTTTTTTCACACTGTTGAGTATAGCTAAATTCAGCAGAAACCAGAATTTCAGCCCTCACTGTCATGAGTGTAAAATGTGTTTTGCACAAATTGTGACCACTTGGTCTCTGATAGATAACGTGTATACTAAAATACACGTTGCTCTTTGCAAAAAATAAGTATCACTAGCTGAGATATTCGTATGACCATATCACTAGGCACTATTGATTTAGTAAACTTTATAGTGTTATTTTTAATGATTCAGACAGAAAATTGGGGGCATGTCACTGTGTACTGTAGCCTACAGCAAATAATCTGCCTTCATTGCATAAACATAGCACAAAAAGATATCAACATTCTGCTGTAGGCCTAGTTGGAAGATATAGGCCAACCTACTCATATTTTCCCACAATATGCAATTACACATTTATTAATATGTATTAATGAGCATGCAATCATAACTCATTAGTATTTTGCTGTTTCACACATTCATTGAAAACGTTCATTTGTACAGAAGTGCAAAATGAAAATGGGACACACAAGTGCCAAGTCCAATAGTGACCAACAGAGGGCAGCTAGTTGCCTTCAAATACATTCTGTATTGAAGAATAATATATCTCACCATGGGCATCATTATTGAGGGGGGTTCCTCAAGGCACTGTCAAAACAGTAAAACAAATGTCCCTCTGTGAGACAGTCCAATGGCCAAGCGAGATCGCAGGAAGGCGCTGGACAACAGTCTTTCAGGTGAAGTCATGTGTTATATTTACAGCAATGTGTAGTGGTAGGCAGTCGACTTGATATTTATGAATCCAGAAAAATAATAAAAGCTAAAATATAAAACTGTCTAACAAACACTATTCACAGTTATAACTACAGCTATTGACCATAGGCTAATGCCTCACATTACAACTATCTCATAGGCTAGTAACGGACAGCCAGGTGTCCTAACAATCGGCAGTCTACCCCATTCCTCTAGGCCCGAAGTTCTGAAACAGACTGGCATAAATACCAGTTGCCAACGAACCTTCCTTCTGTGATTGGGTCATACCAACTCACTTCCCAGGCTTCAAAATTATCGTCTCCAAACTGGGTATAAATGGACACCCTCATTCATCTTTTACTGTTATGTTATTACTGTATGTTGCCTCAAGATCTCACGGTTTGACACAGTTTGACTTCAGTGTTCGAAGTTTGTCCAGCGAGGGGATAAACGTCAAGTTAAGTTTAGGCATTAAATCCGAATGGTTAAGGTAAGGGTTAAGGTTCAGGTTTGGGATAGGGTAAAAAAACACACACACAAAAAAACGAGTGCCTAGCACTGGGATTGAGTATGTGACCCTTGGAGCCGGAGCTCATGGCTTACTTGATGGTAATAGCCTACTTGATGGTAACAGCCTACTTGATAGTAAAAGTCTACTTGATGGTAAAAGTCTACTTGATGGTAAAAGCCTACTTGATGGTAATAGCGCTTACCGTTGCCCATAGTGGGTGGTTTTGAAGGCATCTCCCAACATCCTGGGACCTGGATGAATGTCGACTATCGCCTTGGATTTTGAGAGACCTGGCTGGTATTTTGATCATGCATTTCAATTATGCATTTGACATTTGTCCTTATAGCACAATTCTCATAGGAACTTAAAGATGCACTCTCAAACTTTTGTACAGTATAATTTCAGCCAGTAGTTGAAAGTGGGGCTCACGAGCCAAAACTGGTCGCCGATTTTTGTGTGCTACGTCATCCAATTGTGTACTACGCCATGCATTTTTTATGTGCTACGTCATCCAATTGTGTACTACGCCATGCATTTTGTGTGAAATGTTACGAATTTTGCAATTGGTGTGATATGTTATAAATCCAATTCATGTTATGAATTTGTTGTGCTTAAGATCCCGGAGTGCATCTTTCAGGTCATAATTGAAAACACATTATTTAAATTGTGTCTTCTCAAATCAAGAGTAGACCTACACATATGACCCTAAAAAATATTTTAAAAAGTGTGAACTTCCATAGGGTTGAATGGCTTGTGTCCCTGTGTGTCCCTCTGAGTGTAAACAGTGTGTGTGGAGAAAATATTGTCTCAGAAAAAAACGATTTCACTTTTCTTGAAAAAAAAATATGTGAAGGAGCATAATGTTCATTGCCACTAGAGGTCAGTTACCACAGTATTTGCTCTACATGCTTCAACCTTAGCCACATGGTTGTTTGGCAATTTCAATACTTGACATTCTTGTCATTCTTGTCAACCTTGTCTGAGTGAGCCTCTCACACCTCTGTTTGCTGCCCTAGCATTCACGGCCAAAGCGGGAAGAAGCTGTGGCTCTGATTGACACATTAATTTCACCCCTGTGAAAAGAGGGATGGGGCCTACTTGTTTTGTTTGCACTCTAACAATTAAAGCATGTGTTTGGCTATACAATAAGGGACTTGTACAATGAGTGGAAACACAACCTATAGTTGATTTATATTGCATTTATAAGACCTACAGAGGAGAATGGAATAAGTGGATTAGAAGGTCCTGTATGTCTCTATCCTCAGTCTGTGGTGAAGCTCAGCATGTATCTGCTGCTGGTCTTTGTGGCCCCCAGCCTGGCACAGTGACTCTTGCTCCTCAGACTGTAGCCAGGGATCACCCTCTTGGGAGCCCTGTTTTGTAGTTGTCATACGTGACCCTCTGAGACATTCCAACCCCGACCTCTTCACCTGGTGTGGATGATTTACACATCCAGATTGGCCACAACAACCCCAATTCAGATTACACCTCTGATGTTTCCTGTCTTGAGGGGAATATACGACAGTAGGGTTGTCACTTTCCTCCACAACTCACAATATGAGTTTTAGTGGGTGCTTTGACCATAAGATTCATGACAAAAGATCAGTAACGACTGCTAGACTTCCTGAAAGAAGTATAGGTAGGCCTAGCATCAGTATTACTTCTGGTTTCTGTATGCAGACAGAAATACTTTATATTCCCAAATTAACTAGATGTAAACCAATTCTGACAGCTGCCATGTGCTGCCCCTCCCCCCAACATATTTGCGTCAACTTGACAACTCCAAAAAGCACATTTTCCATTTAAATGTCTATGCTATCATAAACCAAGCATGTTCTGTAACACAAACCTTGTCACCTTTTTCTAGATAGATCCAACCCACTTCATTAGGTCTGAACACAGTCTGTGGGCGAGCAGGTCTGAGACTGATACTCTAAGAGGGACACTCTATTCCCATTCATGTGCACGTCTGTGCTGTTTGATCTACCACCTCTCTCTTTCTCAGAATGGGTAGCTGACGGCCATCCACTCAGGACAGCGATGATTTGTAACTATGTAGCACAAATATGGCCATCTGCCTAAGTTTGGTGTCTCTGCTTGGCTTTGCATGAGGACTTGTCCCTCTCCAGCCCCACCCACCATCAACATAACGTAGAAAGGTGGCTTCATCACTGAGATTTTGAACACACACCACATATGTACTTGTACAAAAACCCAGAAGTAAGCAAAATACCTTAATGGTGCCTTCTTTACAGCCTCACCTCGAGCTTGCTCAATTGTGCTTTCTTCATAAAGATCCCAGTAAGGATTGTGTCAGGCTGTAGGGACCTCACCTATAATGACACTTCTGTAACAAGGTCACAAATCACTTTCATTTACACCACAGGGGAAGCATAAATCTGATTTGTTGCTTTCCTTTTTTGCATTTTCACAACTTTTTATGAGATTATAGGACCACTGACAGTCATTGGCTTCAAGTCGGCGCCATCCACATTTCCACATAATCCCAATGATTACTCAAACTCAATTCATTAAAAGTGTCATACATACTATGTTCAAGATATATTAGAAGTGTTCACTAAATGTACAGTTAAAATGCATCATAAAGTGTGCAGAGAAGAAATGCAATGCAGTCAAGAGACGCATTTCTAAAAGTGCTTGTCTTGTAACGCCCTGCCATGAAGCCTTCAGTTATATAGAAAGAAGGACCCCATACATTGTTGTGTAAAAATCTATGGTGAAAAGGGGTCTCTAAAGGGGTCTCAAAATGAGGTCTCTAAAGGTGTCGCTAGAGGGGGTTCTAAAGGGGGTTCTAAAGGGGTCTCTTAACTCAATCATAAGACGTCATCTGGTGAGGTCAAATAGGGTTCGTTATTGCCCTCGTACTCCTGGCCAGCAGGTCATGCGGTATCCTGTAATAGGATTGTAGTATGTTTGTAGTATGTTCAACGTTGGCAATCTCCTTTGACTTTAATTAAAGGGCACTGAGTGTACGCCACAGTAGATTCCCCAACTGTCTTCTTAGCTAGATGACTCCTCTGAAACATTTAAATGTCTGGGCCCCATTTGAATTAAAAACTGATGGCACAATCCATAAATTCAATTTCTGCTACAGTTGTTATGGCACTTATAAACATTATATAAACTGTTTGTAACAGGTTGTAGTGTAGAGGCTATTAATTCAGCATGATTCATTATGTCTCCATTGTCAGTCCTTCAATGAATGCAAGCAAGGCATGGATGTCTTCTTCTGGTTTGCCGATTCCAAACAAGGAACTCCAGATGCTTTTATTGCACGATGTTCTTTACATAAGTGAGTCATGAAGGACATCCCTGAAAGGGACACTCCACTTCCAGTCGAGATGGGGTCTATCCTGTTGGATGCACAGCCCTCTGGATTTGGACCTAAGCACGCCAGTAAATCTTGGCCCATCTGATGGTTTCCCCCATGTCTCTGAAGCTAGCAAAATAAACAAACTGCTGTAGGTCTGCGGAAACGGGAGATCAAGCTGAGGGCAGAGCAGAGAGAGAAAGAGCTCAGACATGCGTGGGGGAGGGAAGAGGAA